TTGATCATTTTGTGCTGGGTTTATTTTAAAAAAAAAAAAAAAAGTTATAATCGGGTATTTCTTTTCTTCAGGTTCTTTGATATGGCTTACAATGTATCAGTGATTATCTCTACCGCTCTCTACATAGATGTTTTTAACTATTAAAAATGCATTTAGTACAAAAATCTCTGAAGCTAACACCAACTAAAAAAATTGGTTGCAAATTTAAGGTCACTGCAAAGTAGAATTCTATTTTGTTTGCTTACTCTAGAGAAACTGTATTAGAGGAAAAACAAAAGAAAGAACATTAAAAGCTCAAAAATAGTAGCACACAAAAGTGATTTGAACATGTTTGGGGAGAACATTTTCATTATGAAAGGTTCATGGTGCTGCATTAGTTTGGCTTTGGAAACATGCCATCTGAAATCCAGATCTGGAGACTGGGGATTGCAGTAGTTATATTTTAAGTCAAACAGCTAAAGCTAATTAATGACTAAACAAAAGAAAATTTCAGTCTGGACAATATACATGGAGTACTAATATGCGTAATTATGAAGTAGTCATTTGTGCAATCAGAAAGTTGCATTAGCATAATTATTTCTGGCTCTGAGCCTTAAAAATATTAACTTAAAATGCAGGAACCTTATAATAGTTCACCTAATGAAGATGTGAATACTAAACTGATTATGAAATAAGAGTCAGTCCTTTTACAAATGTGCTATGTATAATATATTCTTTCTCCCCTGCCCTGGAAATAACAATCAGGCCTAACCCTTGAGGTACAGTACAGGAATGGTTACACAGTTGCAAAATTTCTACTTTTAATGTACTTTCTTCATTATTCAGAGCCTACAAAATCCTTTTAGTATCTGCTATTAAGATTCAAAACTACTTCCCTAAGTAACAAGTGCTTGCTACTTTTAAAATACTGTCATGCAAAGATACATTAAGTTTATGTATAATACTTGAAAATGCAAACAAATAAAGAAGCCAAACAAGTCTATAAAAGAAGTCAGTGTGCTGTTGTGAAAAGGATTAGACGTCATTAAATAAGTGCCAGACCTTGGAGAAGTCACTTTGAGCTCACTCTTCTCTGGGACAGAACAGGAGGAAGTGGGATGACGAACCAAAGAATGTGGGCTCTGAAACCAAGGAAGCCGGGCCAGGGGTGCCAAGTCACTACCTTCTGGATGGCTGGCACTGACTACATTATTTAACATCTCCAAAGCTCAAGTTTTCTCATCTATGAGGAAAATCAAATGACCTACTTCATAGGGTTAATTCAAAGATGAAATTACGTTAGTCATGTAAAGGGCTCAAGAGTGCCTAGCATACAATAGATGCTCAATAAAATGTCTGCTGCTACCATTATCATTGTTATCCTCACCATCATTACTTTCATTGTCTTCAGAACCTGAAGAAGGGTTATTTGTGGTTGCATATGTGGAAACATAATCTAAAAAAGATTTGTTTTTATATACAACATTCATTTTGTGAACTGCAAGTAACAGCTGAGAAGAGCAGGAGATTTTTATATCTTCCAATGAATTACAAAAGGTTAAAAGAAGTTTAACTAGGCCCTAAGATCTCCCTTATCTTCTATAGTCTTCCTTTTGGTGACTTCAGCTTCATCAAACACTTGTATATGAACTCATATAACTCATCCTATATTGACTCTTTTTAATCCAAAACGAAATTATAGAATGAACTTGCTGATTCTACTAAAGTAGTTTAGAGTTGCAAGTCTTTGAATAAACACACAAGAATGAAAGTTCCTAAGAATTAATAAGCAACACAGAAAAACGTAACATCAGACAGAGACAGGCCCTATCAAGTGTGCTGTCTTGGCCTAATTAATTAACTACTCTCTACCTACGCACCTTCATCTGTAAAAGGAAATATTACCCACTTTGCAATATTATTATGGGCTTAAAAATAATTATAAATAAGAACCCAGTCACTAGCAAACAACAGGTGCTCAATAAATGACAGCATTTGGATGGGCACAATCACTCTCTCCTCTCAAAAAACAAATACTTCGTATTCATACAAATAGTGCAAAAGTTGGGTTTTCTCCAATCATCACAAATATTTAAACACAGATGTGGATAATTCCTCAAAAGTAGAGTGGAATCAGATTATATCCCAGAACATAAATTTAAAACACAGTAGAGGGACAGAGAGTATGAGAGCAGAGAAAGATGACAGCTGAAATCGTACAGACAACTGGGGCTGCCAGTCCACACTGTGAGCATATGCTTGGCATTGAGAGTGAGACAGAAAACAAGAATCTGCTGCTCTCTCAACTGCTCTCGTCCCCACAGGCCTCCCCTAACGTGAGAGTCTTGTCCCAGTGAGTGCAATTTAAAGAGATGAGAGTTTTGTACAATACAGTTTCTAAATACAAGCTGACTACTTCATTCAGTTCTCAACCAAAGACACAGCAATCTATTCCAACCCTAGAAGGAAAATAGGCTCTTAATATTGACAGTACAACTAAATTTTACTTTATGAGCAATTCAAGGGATTTCATGGGCAATTTTGACTAATCATGGCTTTGCCTCACATAGGACCAGAGCCCCCCTGAGAGACAAGTCCAATGAAGTAGAGTTCCTTCAGGTTTTAATGTCAACATGAAGGATGGCTGAATGGAAAACGAACAAGTGCCAATACCCAGTCAGATCAAAGTAGTAAGTAAATTAATAACAGCATGATTGTTCTGTTCCTTCTACTGTCCAAGACAGGTAAGGAAAAAATGAAGTAACTGGTTACCATCACTATGTAAAACTCTGCAGAATTAACAACACCCAATCTAAGTCTTCTGCTGCCACACACAAGATTTCCTGTTTCTCCTAAAACCAAAAAGAGAAACAAGGAAAAAAACCAACGTTCTCTATGCAAAAATGTGACCCAATCTTTAAATTCAGTTCTAGCAGAAGGGTTTTTGTCAGTGTTGCCCTGACATATTACTCAAAAGAACAAATGACTGCAAGAGACTAGTGTGCACAGTTTCACCTCCATCAGCTACGCTACTCCGGCTACCTCCACCCTTAGGAACATATACTGTCTATTTTCCAGCAGTACTGATAGCTTGCTTGTGCAAAACAATCCACATGTTCTACCTAGACCCCCCCAGATTTACATTTCTCCAGTAAGAGATAGGGCAGTATTTTCCTCTGCAAACTGGACTGAAGCAATTCTGTGACCTAAACCAATGGTCTCCAGGGGGTTGTGTACTGGGGTCCTGGAGGGAAATACAGAACAACATTTTTCTTTTTACCTCACCTTCTATAAAAATTCTTCATTGGGTATTTTATAAGGCATCTAATGTGTAAAGTGGAACATATAAATAATTTAGAAAAAGTATGTGAAAGTTGAAGGGTTATGCACAAAAATTTCAAAATAGTTTTGAAACCACTGATCTGAATAATCTACCAACTAAATTTCTGACCCTCTTCCATCCAGCTTGACAAGACTCTCTAAAAACACTGACTTTAATTCATTAAGCAATTCCTAGTTTCAAACATAATTTCAAATTATAATTAAAAGATAATGCCAATATAAAATATTACATTGAAAGAATACGTAATTATTCTGTGGTTTGCTACATTTATAAATAAACTAGAGCAATGTGTAATAATCTAGTATCAAATCCATGTTTCAGGGAACACTATGAAGCATACTGAGTTTCTAAGTAATTGATGGGCAAGTTGTGACCTACTGAAGAGCTTCCAAATTATACTATTTTGGTCAAAGAGTAACCATTTATAATTAAGACTAATTTTCACCATATTTACTTTGTTTTCAAGTGCTAAACGTTTGAAATCGTTAATAACTGACTAAAATAATAGGCCTTTAAGCTAACTAATGTTTATCAAAACAGAAAATTCTGTCTGAGGGAATAATATAATTTATGCAAATAACCAAAACAGACGTATCTTAAAAAAGGTAGAATCATTTGAGACAAGATAACAAAGCTTTGAGGCGCTAGTGAGTATATACATCTGCAAACTGATAAGTAAAAGGACTTGCCATACATATAACCACTTATAACCGAAAACAAAAGCATTCTAAGTCAAGAAGGTAGAGCAAAAGAATCTTTTAAAAAAAAGAAAGGTAAAGTAGGCAGCACTATTTTCTTCTTACATCTTTTAACAAACTGAGTCCCCAGGAAGAGGCAGGATGTTATATTTAACTTAACTCAGAAATAAATGAATGAGCAACATGAAACAGTTTATACCAGCTACTTAATCCCAACCATTTGAATTAAAGGAATATTATGCCCAAATTGACAGATACATGCCCAATTCTTATCATCACACTAAAAAAGTATTTCCCTAAAATGACATATTCAGATTTCAAAATAAACAAGATGACAAGGCAATTCACCCCTAATCTGAGTCTCCTAGAAAATTTATGAAAAAAGGAAACATCATCCAAGAAGACAAGCTTTTACTTATTCTACTTCATTGATCTATTTTCTAACTGTATGCCAAATACACAACCTACTATGTAACACTCATTCTTAATAAAAATTTCTATTAATAAGGTAAACCAGTTAATTTTCCCAGCAAACTTCCTTCATCAAAGAGGACTAAGTGCTATTTGTTAATAAAAAGCCTGCCTTTCCCAATTCTACAGAAGTGTCACACTGTCAAGACACTGCAGTGCTCTGTTGAATACTGGGGCTGTATTTTTATTAACATAAGAACTACTGTCTAACTGAGATGCAGACAGAGTTAACCACACCTTGGAGACACCAAAATGCAAAAAAACACATATAAAAACTCATGCTATTTTAGTATGTTAGCATGAACATTTTGTTTTTCAACACAAGCCAAACAGGTAGTTCAAGAAGCATGATGCTATCTGTCAATTCCAGGTTAAACGTTCTTCTCAAATACAACTCCCAATTTCAGTATTTTTATTTTAGACTTAATATAAAGTAATACTATGCAAAACTACCTAAACATAATTGCCCTTAAAAAAAATTATACCCTGAAAAACAGAAATGTATTTACCTCATTAGTGTTCCAGCGGTGCCTCTCTTTTGGTAAACTTGAACATTTCGGCAGACATTCAAGCAGCTTTTTCGGTAAAAAGATTTTTACATGACTACTATTGCTGTTCCCATGATCATCTATAAAAAAGAAAACAATAAATTCAGAGAAAATACGAGAACACCTCATTTTAAGTATACTGCCAAAGTCAGAAACAGCAGTTCAGTTTAGCCATTGTGAGAACAAGAGCATCAGAAGGCTCTGTTACTGTTTGTAGTTAATAAGACTCATTTACACATTTATCAGATAGAGGGCAGCAGGAATCTGGTCAAGAAGTACTAAAGTAAGATTGAGCTTTTGCTCCATGACAAACCAGTGAAGAGGAATATCCCAGGAGCTGCCCAAAACCAGAACATTACTTTTAAAGCCTCCTTCCTGGAGTTTCCATGAAGTACATCAAAATTGCAAACAAAATTTAACCTCACAAAACCCAGAAATCTTTTATTAGCCAGTTGAAAAAGTTTTTAGGTTTTCTAAGTAAGACTAATAATAATATGTAAGATTAGATTTTATTCATAAACTAATAGTACTTTACTTCAGCCCCTTGGATACAAATTAAATTTATCATTTCAAAAGCAAATCACAAATCTTACAAATACAAGGGATTTAAATTTGCAGTTAACTACCCAGGTAATACAGAAGCTGGCCTTTCTAGCCTAAATCTAAAAACTTATCATTTTAATTAACTTGATTTACATACACTTATCTATATAATTAATGTATTTCATCAAAAGGTAACTCTTCTAAATGAGTTAGAGAAAAGTTAATTACTTTCAGACTAGGTGGTACTTCTGACTACCTAATCATCAATCTACTTTCTAGAAGAGATTATTTCCTTTACATAACACTAAATATGAGTTTATTATTTCACTCTTATAACAAAGTCCCTTTCTCTAGCTCAAAATTCCTTGCTATTTTTGGCACATTTAGGTCTAAGTTTTGAATTACCCACTCCAATTTTTCTTAAGTGTTAAATGGCAGCCCCAACATCCAAAGGATGCAATGCCTAACTAGGAACTGAGGAGCAACACATTAAAACATTAAAGACAGAATTTTTTCCACTAAGTCACAGTTAAATCGACTTATTCGCATATTAAAAAAACAATAAACCGAGAGTCAAGAATCCAGGACTCAGGCCCAGTTCTGCTGCTACCTTCTACTTGTGTGACCTTGGGTAAGTTACTTAGTATTTTCAGTTTTCCCAAATCAAGGAGAATTAGATGATCTCTAATTCTATGACACTAAATCCTTTCCGGTCCATGAACTATAAAACCAACTGAATTATAATATCCATCCTATATTTCTATAAGCAATATAAATACTTTAAAAACTTAATTAGATAATCTCTCATTCTCTCCTAGGCATAAATCTCTATAAAATTTACTGTCATTCAATAACTTAAAACGCCTTCCAAGGCGGTATCATTACAAAAGCAGATTGCCCAATCTTCCTTCTGAGGAGTGGCTGGTGGATTTGAACCACCAGCCTTCTGGTTAGCAGTCAAATGCCTCAGGCACTACGCCACCAGAGCTTCCAAGTTAATAATGTGAAGCCTAAAATACAACAATATATTTTTATAGTTACTTATTATAATCTTGTGTCAAACAGTCTCATTTCTCAACATGTAAAAAACATAAAGGAATAAAAAATATTTTCTAAGGTCACAACAAAATTCTCTCCCAACAGTTTTCAGCTGATTAACTCATTTCTTCCCAAGGAAAAGATCTTAACAGGAAACTATTGGGCACAGAAATAAAGTCTAAAAAAATTTACTGCATCATATAGAAATATTTTAAAGGGATGAACTTAAGAGAGTTTTAGCGTACTAAATCCTTTCTGGTCCATGAACTACAAAACCAATTGAATTATAATACCCATCCTATATTTCTATAAGCAGTATAAATACCTGAAAAACTTAAAAAATGACTGCATTTAAGAATTTAAATTTTGAACTTAATAGCAAAAATATGATTAAACTTTTTAAAAATCTTACTATAAAACCAAAAGGAAACAGTTCAACTGAGAGAAAGTTCATAGAAAGTTCTGTATTAATTACACACTATAAAACCTTTGTAATTTTATGTGCTTATGCATGCTCCCTGCACTTCATCCTCCCAAAGGAGGGACCATGGGCCATAAAACTTTAAAGCACAGAATACCAAATCACATGAGCTTTTACCTCCCTTCTCTTTCCCTATGTGGTTTTATTCTCATTTTTAAAAATCTCCTATGACGTGTACGATTCTGAAGGTTCTGAAGGTAGAGGTGAAATTCCAAACTCTATATTCAATTCAAATATTCAATATTTACAAGGTATCTTCTGTGAAAATAACACTATGCTAGGCACTCAATCAATGGGCTTAACTCTGCATTATGTATGAGTAGTCCTATCTCTGAGAAAGCTGTTTGTTTAAAGTATAATTCTGAACAATAATGGACAGAATATTAAACCCCAGCTCCTATTACTAAGTTTGTGATCACAATCTATCCTTTTAGCCTCCTTGAGGAACCCAGCCACCCTGCAGCATACAAAGCATACGTAACTACATATGTATGTATTTTGCACATGTGTACATGATCTCTAATTCTCTCCCAGGCATAAATCTCTGTGAAATTTACTGTCATTCAATAACTTGTCATATATATGCATTTTGTGTATATACATTTTGTGTTAGTGTGTATGTGCATGTAGATTGTGCTCTTTTCAACAGCATAACTGACAATTCTTTAGTCTTCCACTCTGATACCAAATCAAGCCTAAAGGATTTTAAAGAAGGAAAAGGAGAATGACTATGTAAGCACTGTCTCAATAAAGTTTCTAAATATAGCACTTTATGGGGATGTGCTGCAGTGGGTTCAAAAGGAGTAAGACTATAACAGGCCAATAGGTTCCCCTTAATCAGTTTTTAAACTGTGCTATTTCTAGAACTTCAGGTTCACACTGAGTATAAATTGGATGTTTTTAAGAAACATAACAAAGGGTAAATTTTCCCACTGTGCATTTTGAAGATTTTCATACTGCAAAAAGAATATCAGGAACTCAATAAGCAAAATGTTGAAACTTCCCATAGTTTCACATCTTAGTTTTTCCAGTTACAGCATACTTTCACAGTGGAAAAGAATCATTCCCATTGCTATACTATGTGGAAAACATCTTTTAATTAAAAGCTGCTTTTTAATGTTTTGGGGATAACTGTAAAAGATAAAATATTTAGATAAATGTATATGCCAGTTTTTTACATCCTTTTACAATATCTTGAGTTAACAACAAAACTAAGGTATTCACTGGTTTCAAAGGCATCTCAGAATTTAATCCAAATAGTTAAACTTTGACACTGCAAAATGGTAATGTCAACCAAATGACAGTAAGCCATCTCATTATTATCATCTAGCAAAATATGCACGCATGATATATGACTTTATAAAATTATTTCTAGCCTACTTCACAATAAAAATAACTAGTAAAGCTCTTAAACTGACAGATGATCTACTTGGGTGACAGCTATAATTCTAAAGAATGAACCACCTTTTCTAGTCAAGCTTTAAATATTTCCCAAATAATAATTTTAGAGGCATTGTATAACTTAACTAAGACTTTCTAAAAAGTACCAAAAGAAGCTTAATGTTACACTTAATATTAATTAGGCAAAAAGCAGATTTCTCATTTTCATGTTTTCTTTCCAAAAATTGAGATTCATATTGTCAAATCCTTATTTAAATCCAAAGAAAGTCATTTGACCTTTTCCTTGGAACACTATTGACTTCTGCAAGGTAAATGATAACTATATTAACTCTAACCTAGAAATGATGCACCAGTCTATTTTGATTCATAATTAATAAAAATTAAATAATTTTGGTTCTCTGAATTACACACACCATTATTCAATCAAGTTAATGATGATTAATCTCTCAACCCCTAAGCTAAACTATTCAAACTAAGTTGGTATAACAGTGTATCAAATTGCTAAATCTTATTGGGAATGTATTTGATCAACAACTTGGAGTGGAAAAATTAAAAGGAAGTGCTACAATTTTCTGTTTAGCTCTAATTATTATGTGCTTAGATTTAATTAGTAGGGTGGAAACTGATTCAGGAAAACATAAGCACATATTGTTATATTCAAGTCAACTGTGCTCACAGCAGCAAATATTGCCATTACAAGCCCAAGACCTTTCAAATCATTATTCATTCAAAATAAATATTAATTAAGCACCAACTATGTGCCAAGCATTGATGTGATTTCTCATTATTCTTTTCAGAAGAAATTCTCCAAAATGAATTAAACACAGTTGTAATTATTCATAAGACTTCTTAAAGGCTTGAAAAATAAGGTTTTTAATAGAAAGTAATAATTAGTTTTGCTTTTTAATAACTTCTGTTCTTATAGTTGTATGCTCATCAAATCTTACCCTTTCTATTTTAGATATCCCAGATTTACCCTCTTTCTGTCATTCATATTACCAAATCTCTAGTCTGGGTTTAGGTCAACTCATAACTCAGGTTCATCAATAAACTTCTCACTATTTATCTGCACTTGTTATTTTCAGTCTAAAAATAACTGTGAGTGGGGATAGACAGAGGAGGGACAGTAAAGCTCTGCAATCAGGCTTCAATGGGTTTCAGGGCATCCTCTCCTGCATTACCTGCTTCATTTCATTCAAGCTCTTTTTTTTTTTTTTAACTACATGTGCTGAAGTAAATCTATTTTCTATTACTTACTAAGGTGTAAACATCTATGGAACTCTACCACATACGAGGCACCCAGAAAGGATTTTACATTGCACTCTCTCATTTAATCCTGACAATAATTCATCAGGGCATAATTATTTCCATTGCACAGATGAACAAACTGAGATTCAGATAAATTTGCCCAAGATCCACAGCTAATAAGTGATTCAAACGGGATTCAAACATGGGTCTGTGGCTTTTCCCACAATACCTCTCTGCTCCTACTTCAAGTCACCCAGAAGTTGACACTAGAAATAAAGAATTGTTGTGTTAGTATCTAACATCTGCACAGTGCTTCAAATATTCCATGTGATTAAACACTTTGCCTTTTTTAATCAAGGAAACTTATGAGGTGAGTATTATTGTTACTAACCCCAAAAGGATTAAGTAAACTCATCTAAGATCACACAGCAAGTTAAAGGCAGAACTCAGGTCTGCTCAGCCCTGGTTGAATGCTATTTTCACTACACTAAGATGATGGATTTACTCTCACTGCCAAGCCCACCCCTTCCTGTAAGTCAAAAGCTTTTTCGAATCCTACCTTCTATAGGTGGCACGGTGTTGAGAACACAGTAGGTGCTAGTTCCGCAGAATACACTTTGGGAAACGCTCTAAGGAAACAGAAAATAAAATGTAAAACTAATCTTTAAAAAAGATATATACTGGCTCTTCTGTGATATTGCTGCCAAAGATGCAAAACCCGAATCTAATCATGAGGAAACATCAGACAAATCCAAATTGAAGAACATTCCACAAAATGACTGGCCTGTAATCTTCAAGAGTGTCAAGGTCATGAAAGTCCAAAAAGGTCGAGAACTGTTCTAACTTTAAAGAGATGTGACAACTGGATGCAATCCAAGGTTTTGAATGGAACTTTTTCTACAAAGGACATCACTGAGTCTCAACTGGCAAAACTGGAATTTGAGGATTTGGTGGCACAAATGCATCGATGTTAATTTCCTCATTTTGAGTAAGTACTATATGGTGGTTATAAAGGAGAATGGTCTTGTTTGTAGGAGATACATAGTATAAAGTATTTGAGAGTCATGAGTACCATATTAGCAAGTTATTCTCAAATTGTTCTGGGGAAAAAAAGATTTCTTTGCATTATACCTGCAAATTTTTTGTAGGCTTGAGATTGTTTTGGAATTCAAAGTATGTATGTGGTGCATGTATTATTTGTGTGATTTTTTTTTTAATGGGGAGAACATTTTCTATACATACAGTAAACTTTTACTGAGAAGAACAAATGCCATATACATTTTGCAGTTCAGTCAATATTCAATGACATTATTAACCATTTCCCAACAGTAAGCCCAGCATCCAACTCATCCAAAAAAAGTCTACTAAGAGCCAGCTAATAGTGTGGCAGGGGTAGTAAGTCAAGAGGAAGCTGGAAGGCAAGGTCCTTGCTCTTAAACATTAAAATTAACATTTTTATGTAAAAACCTACAAAATAGTAACTTTAAGAAAAAAAATTTGAGTCTTACTACCCAATTACTTTCAGTCCTAAGAATACCCTTTTGCTGGCTGCAGTAGTAAATTATTTTTGGATTATTCATCCTACATTCCACCACTCATCTGTCAGTCTGTCTTACTGTGGTGGATAAACCACATACACATATACTTAGAAAATAAAAAATATTTTACAAGTTCAACAATTACCCTTAACGTTTTATATTTAAAATATAAAGAAACTAATTCTACCACTTATTAGCTGTCCTTGGGGCAGTAATTTAACCGCTCTGTGTAACCTCACCAGAAGAAGCTTTCCTGTCTTACAGAGTTGCTGGGAGAATTAAATGAGATAACACACTCAAAAGTATACAAGTTGAAAATTACAGATAATGTCATAAAATTATATATGTAGAATTTGTTGAAATGGTATATCCTTTTCTGTGTATATGTTTATAAAAATAAAAATTCTGAAGTATTTTAAATTCAAAAGTACCACACAAAAATAAAATGCTGTTGTTACTTCAGTTAATTAAAATAATCTTTAACAATGTTAACACTTTCTAAGAACAAACTGAGGACTGCCTGAATTTTTTGTGCTAAAGAGTGTTGAAACTGGACTAAATTTGACTTCCGTGAATTTTCCTCTCCCATGTATACATAATCAAGTGTTTCAGAAGTCAAATTATTGTCAGAGTCCATATAATAAGTCTTCCTCCATAATGTGACTACTAGCTACCAGGATAACTATCAGCTCCCCAATTCTTCCTTTTCTGTTTCTGGAAAATTCTTGTTCTGAGACTTTAACTGCCCTGCCCCTATTTGATTTAATCATTTAACCTGAGGTGACATCAAAGCGTAAGGATGCTCGACATAAACCAAAGACTAACCTCAGAATCCATATACCCTTTAGAGACTACAAGATTAGTTTCTTCCCATAACTACAAGCATGGAATTATAGCGCTTTATGAAAAGTGGTTGTTGTAAAGTCAGCAGTATTCTGACTTCTTGTAACATCTGCAAGAGTCACCAGCAACAGCCTACTAACCACATTTATGCAACATCTCATCTTAAGAGAAAGTAGTCTCTGAAATAAAACTCAAAATATTATGGGTTTTTTTTTTTTTTTTAAACGTCTTACATTCAAGACTTAACATTTTCTGGCTTCCTAGTACCAAAAACACAGCATAAGATCACCACTGATCAAGATGTCCAACAATGGTCTGTCATCAAAGGTTCTGAAAAATCACTAGTGAGACACACTAATGAATGGCTTAAGGGGAGATTTTTATATCTAACTTCAAAGTCTGATTATAGGTAAAGAAGTGGTAAAATAAACCAAATAACAACTCAGAAGAATTAAGCAATAAAATAACATACATAACAGAAATATCAAGGACAACAGCCAGTGATGCTTTCTCCACAGCACTGCCAGTGTTAGAAAGGGAACTAAACCACACAAACACACCCAGCCCATTCAAATAAAATATTGTGACCATGCATAATAACCCAAAAAACTAAACCCACTGCCATCCAAGTCAATTTTGATTTACATCAACCCTGTGGGGCTGAGTAGAACTGCCCCACAGGGTTTCCAAGGCTGAAATCTATAAATGATCTTAATAGGTATTTTAAGTAGAAAAGAAATTCACTCACATAAGTTCAGAGTGAAATCAAATCATGCTACCCTCAAAACACCAGTTTTTAAAGAAAATAAAACAAGAGCTAGGTGCTTTCATGTGGCCCCTTGAGACACATTTCTGTGTGCTTGCAACAAAGGTGGACACTGAAATAGAAGGGGAAAGCACTGGCCTTAAGAGGCTAGAGAACTAGACTCTTTAGTCGACCTCTCTGTCCATAAGGAACACAACAGAGTGGGGAAAGCACAGATTTAAAGGCAAACAGGAGTACCTTTAAAGGAGGGTGGCTACTAAATGGAAAAGTTTGAGGTTCAAGTCTACCCAGAGGTACCTTGGAAAAAAGTCCGGAAAAAAGTCCAAAAAATCAGTTACTGAAAACCCTATGGAGCACAGTTCTACTCTGGCACTTAAGGAGTCACCATGAGTCAGTGTCAACTCAATGACAATACACCAAAAAAAAAAAAAGGTAGACAGACCAGGGATCAAGCCCTCTCTCAGCAGCAAGACTTCACCGCTTCTCTCCCTGACTGACTCTTAAGTCTTAACTAAGACCTCCTGTCCCTTGGAAGCTTTTCTGGGCAGAGTTCAGCCACCCAGCTGGGTGCCTTTACAGCAGCCTGCACTTCCCTCTCAAAGAACACATCTCTCTTTATTGCAACTTCTTTCATTTACTGTATAAATATTTAGTGAGTACCTCCATGACACTATCCTAAGAGCTAGAACATAGCAGTGAACAAGACACGCAAGGTTCCTGCCCTTGTGGAGTTACATTCTAGTCGGGAGAAGGCTGATAGTAAAAGGGATAGTGTCCAATAGGAATAAATGCCATAAAGGCACTAAAACAGGGAAGTGGGAAGGAAATAAAATAGAGTGGTGCATTGCTGTCAATGATCAAGCAAGAGAGAACACTGTTTCTGAGTGTATATCCACATGGTGTGGTGTGGTGTGGTATAACGAAGGAAATACTGACTATAGCATTAAGAAACTTGGATCAATGCTTCTCAGCCTTGGCTACACCATTACACTCATCTAGGGAGAGTTTTAAAATTCTGATGCCCATGCTGCAATACTAGCCAACTAAATCAGAATTTCTGGGAATGGAATCTCGATACCAGTATTTTTAAAAGGTTCCTTCAGGTGACCCAATAGGAAAATCAGTAAAGTAAACAGCTGTGTGACTGGGCAACTCTGACTTCTCGGTTTCTCCTTAGTAAAATGGCAGGTTAAACAAGTGCACTACTTCCCAAACTAATGCATAGAGGCATCAGCCAAGGATCTTTTTAAAATGCAGGTTCTGATTCACAGGCACAGGTGGGGTCTCTAACTACCCCTCCTTATGATGGTGATGCAATGACTCATGGCCACATTTTGACTTGGAAGATCTGAAAGAACCCTGGTGGAGCTGCTAACCAAAAGTTCGAACCCACCAGCTGCTCCATGGAAGAAACATGTGGCAGTCTGCTTCCATAAAGATTAGAGCTTTGGAAACCCAATGGGACAGTTCTCCTCTGTCCTTTAGAGTCACAATGAATCAAAATTGACTCAACAGCAACGGGTAAATGACCAATGTGAAGATCAGGAATTAAATAATCTATCTGAAAAAAGATCCCCCTCAGCTCTAACATTCCTCCACTGCATAATTCCAGGAACTCCTAAGAAATGAAAAAAAAGTACTTTTGTCTGTTAATACCAACTATAATAAAAGCTCTAGTACAAAACTATGACAGAATACTCAAGCATGATAAATAAAAGCTACATTAGTTTACTGAATAACTGATGGGTTACTGAGTTTAGAGTCCAATGACTGGATACAAAAAAAGCTCCATAAAATATATCTCGCGCCTGTCTAGTTGAGAAAATTATACTGAATATATATATAGGAGCTCTGGTAGCATAGTGGCTAAACCACTTGAATGCTAACCAGAAGGCTGGCGGTTCAAACCCACCAGCCACTCCTCGGAAGGAAGGTTGGGC